GCACGTGTGACAGCTGGCGAAGCAGCACGGTTTGTCACTGCCCTTACAGAGCAGACTCAGGCCTTCCCTGTGTGCCACTGGCTATGTTTTAAAGCAGATGTCACTGATATTAAAAGTCAAAGAACCATAGGTAAAGTCAGGGCGGGGAACAGTCCGTGCCCTTCTCTGAACGACGCTGGCCCACGCTCACAGCACTGAAAAGGACGCAGGGTCATGCTCAGCAGCTCGTGGACTTTGTTCATTTTATCCTCATTGCTCATTCAAAACTCTGGGAAAAGTAGATGTGCGGCCATTGTTTTACGGCTTCCTGGGGCAAGAATGGCAGTTACTCATTCTACAATAGTCCTAATTTCAGGAATTGTACTCCTTGTTCTTGGAAACCAGAAACTTCTATCCAATCACTGTTCTTGTGGACCAACTGTGGCTCTCCTGAGATTCTTGGAGAACAATAATAATTAACAATAATAACAATAATAAAGAGCCCAAAAACATAGCTGAAGCAGCTGCTTAAAAGGAAGGAGTTCGGAAGGCTGATGCTCCGTCCACCACAGCATTCGGTCGTACTGTCCTTAGAGCCTGTACTGCTACCTGGAGTTTTCTTGGCGGTGCTCTGCCTCACCCCTGTAGCACACAAGCCCTGGTGCTCTGCCTCACCCCTGTAGCACACAAGCCCTGTGAGAGCAGGGACCGGATCAGCCTCGCCGGCCACTGTGCCTCCAACAGTCCTCTAACAACCATGAAGTAGGCCGTCCACTGGGAGGGCCTGATGAACCCCACGTAACCAGTGCAGTGACAGGCGGGAGAGAGCCGCTCACGGAGTGCAGAAGAGCCTGCCTGGGGCTGAGCACGCCCTTACAGGTTGCTGGGCTGGCTTCAGTTATTCATTCAACAAACATTTATTGAACTCCTGGCCTAATATAGCAGTGAACACACTGACACAGAGCATGTCCTCGTTAAGCTTACCATCTGATAGGAATATAGATGTTCAGAAATAGATCAGATCACTCACTACCCAATTACGAACTGTGGCAAGTGTGGTGAAGGAAAAACACAGGGCAATACAAAGGTGAGTTTTATAGCATATACGGTGTACCTCAATAAGGTTGTTTTAAATCTATATCACAGTTGCGCCCCTCCAGGCCACTCTGGCTGGAGGCCTCTGACTTAAAGAAACCTTGCTTTTAAATTAAAAATAGGCCGGCGCTGTGGCTCACTAGGCTAATCCTCCACCTTGCGGCACCGGCACACTGGGTTCTAGTCCCGGTCGGGGCGCCGGATTCTGTCCCGGTTGCCCCTCTTCCAGGCCAGCTCTCTGCTGTGGCCAGGGAGTGCAGTGGAGGATGGCCCAGGTGCTTGGGCCCTGCACCCCATGGGAGACCAGGAGAAGCACCTGGCTGCTGCCATCGGATCAGTGCAGTGCGCTGGCTGCAGCGCGCCAGCTGTGGCGGCCATTGGAGGGTGAACCAACGGCAAAAGGAAGACCTTTCTCTCTGTCTCTCTCTCTCACTGTCCACTCTGCCTATCAAAAAAAATAATAATAATAAATTAATTAATTAAAAATAAAATAAAACGCTATATCACAGTGGAGAAAACACAACCTTGGATCTGTGCACTTTGGGGTTCACAATCCTGGTTCTGACACTTACCAGCTACATTCTCTTGGGCAACTTACTCATCTCTGCAATTGAGTTTCTGCACCAATAAAATTAAGATAAGCATAAAATCTCCTACGATGGCTCCAAAGGTTAAACAGGTTAGTGTTTCCAAAGCATTGACAAGGGTACCTGGCACTCAAAAGAGGTGACTTATAATTACTTTTGGGGAGTCAGGAGTGCTAGGGACTGAATGTTTCCCCTTAAAAAGCCTATGTTGGAATCCTGGTGATGGTACAGAAGGTAGGGCCTTTGGGAGGTAATTCTGTTTTAAGGATGAAGACTTGGGGCCAGTATAGTGGCATAGCGGGAAAAGCCATCGCCTGTAGTGCCGGCATCCCACATGGGTGCCAGTTCGAGTCCCAGCTGCTCCACTTCCAATCCAGCTCTCTGCTATGGCCTGGGAAAGCAGCACAAGATGGCCCAAATCCTTGGGCCCCTCCACCCATGTGGGAGACCCAGAGGAAACTCCTGGCTCCTGGCTTCTGATTGGTGCAGCTCTGGCTATTGTAGCCAATTGGGGAGTGAACCAGCGGATGGAAGACCTCTGTCTTTCTCTTTCCCTCTCTCTCTCTCTCTGCCTCTCCTTCTCTCTCTTGGTAACTCTTTCAAGTAAATAAATAAATCGTTAAAAAAAAAAAAAAAAAAAGGATGAAGCCCTCATGAATGGGATTAGTGCCCTTACAATAGCAAATGTGATCACTCTATAAATAGATGGACAGACAGGTCTCTGGCTGGCTGAGTTTCTATGACTAACAATTGGCAGGATTATCACACCCTAAAATTATATCTAATTAGGATTGTATTTTGTATAATAAAACCAAATTACAGGATAGCTTATGTTAGATATGCTCAAAATTGTGGGGTGTCTATATGTATACATATTCATATATGAATGAAGACACAGTGAGAAGGTTGTCCCAGACAGACAGACTGCCCTCATCAGACACCGGATTTGCCAGCACCTTGATCTTGGACATCAGCCTCCAGAAACTTAAGAAATACATTGCTCTTGCTTTGATTTTTTTTTAATTTTTTTATTTTCTTGGAAGGCAATTACAGAGAGAGACAGAGACAGAGAAAAAGACAGAGAGAGATCGACTGACCACTGGTTCACTCCCTAAATGGCTGCAATGGCCAGAACTGGGCTAGATTGAAGCCAGGAACATAGAACTCCATCCAGGTCTCCCATGTGTGTGGCAGGGGCCCAAGCACTTGGGCATCCTCTGCTGCCTTCCCAGGTGCATTAGCAGGGAGCTGGATCAGCAGTGGAGGGGCTGGGACTCGAACCCATACCTATATGGGATGCTGGTGTTGCAGGCAGTGGTGCAATACACTGTGGCACATGCTGTTCAGGCCATTGCTTTTTTTTTTTTTTTTTTTTAATTTTTTTTTTTTTATTTTGACAGGCAGAGTGGACAGTGAGAGAGAGAGACAGAGAGAAAGGTCTTCCTTTGCCGTTGGTTCACCCTCCAATGGTCGCCGCGGCTGGCGCGCTGCGGCCGGCGCAGCGCGCTGATCCGATGGCAGGAACCAGGAGCCAGGTGCTTTTCCTGGTCTCCCATGGGGTGCAGGGCCCAAGCACCTGGGCCATCCTCCACTGCACTCCCTGGCCACAGCAGAGGGCTGGCCTGGAAGAGGGGCAACCGGGACTGAATCTGGCGCCCCGACCGGGACTAGAACCTGGTGTGCCGGCGCCGCTAGGCGGAGGATTAGCCTAGTGAGCCGCGGCGCCGGCCACTTTTTTCTTTTTTTAAATTATTTGAGAGTCAGAGTACCAGAGAGAGAGAGAGAGAGAGAGAGAGAATCTTTCATCTACTGGTTTATTCCCCCAATTGCCTCAATGGCTGGGCTGGGCCAGGCCAAAGCCAGGACCCCAGAGCTCCATCTGGGATGGCAGAGGCTCAAGTACATTGGCCATCCTCCGCTGCTTTCCCAGGCTCATTAGGAGGGAGCTAGATGGGAAATGGAGCAGTTGGGACTCAAACCAGTGCTCCAATATGGGACGCCAACGATGCAAGCCATAGGCAGCTTCACCTGCTGAGCCACAGCTCCGGCGCCTGACTGCCATCGTTTAAGCCGCCTTGTCTCTGATAGTCTGCTATGGCAGCCCAATTTCACAATGACAGGCAGGGAACAGGAATGAAACTGAGGTAACAACAGAAGCAAAGTCAGAAACCTCTTGAACTCAATATCTGGTCACTGAGATACCTTCTTTCCAGGATTCTATTCAAAAATGTAAAGGCCCTGCGGCTGGCGCTGTGGCACAGAAGGTTAAGCCTCCACCTGCAGTGCCGGCATCCCATACGGGCTCCAGTCCAAGTCCTGGCTGCTCCACTTCCCATCCAGCTCCCTGCTAATGTGCCTGGGAAAGCAGCAGAAGATGGCCCAAGGGCTTGGGCCCTCACACCCACGTGGGAGAAATGGAAGAAGTTCCTGGCTCCTGGCTTTGGTCTGGCCCAGCCCCGGATGTTGCACCCATTTGGGGAGTGAACCAGCAGATGGAAGATCGATCTCTCTCTGTCTCTCCTCTTGTATCTTTGCTTTTCAAATAAATAACTAAATCTTAAAAAAAAAATTAAAGGTCTTAGGTTTTGATTTATTTTGCTTTTTTTTTTTTTTATTATTTGACAGGTAGAGTTATAGACAGTGAGAGAGAGAGAGACAGAGAGAAAGGTCTTCCTTCCCTTGGTTCACTCCCCAAATGGCCGCCATGGCCGGCGCTGTGCTGATCCGAAGCCAGGAGCCAGGTGCTTCTTCCTGGTCTCCCATGCGGGTGCAGGGCCCAAGCACTTGGGCCATCCTCCACTGCCTTCCCAGGCCACAGCAGAGAGCTGGACTGGAAGAGGAGCAACCGGGACTAGAACCCGGCACCCATATGGGATACTGGCACCACAGGCGGAGGATTAGCCAAGTGAGCCATGGCGCTGGCCTCTATTTTGCTTTCTAAAGAAAGCTCTTTTGTTGAGGAAATGAATGAAGCCATGAACATATCTGAAACAATAATAATATGAAATCGGAGAAACAAACCTATATATTCATTATGTTTTGCTATTTTTGAATATAAGGCAAGTATCCTACCTTTACTCTTTAAAGATGTTTGAACAAGTTTACTGAGATCTAATCCTTACACCACAACATTTGCCTTTTTAAAGTGTGCATTCAGGGGTGCCTAATGTATTCACAGAGTTGTGCCAATATCACCACTACAGAGGGAGTTGCAGAATATTTTCACCATCCCCAGCAAAAACCCGTCGGACCTGTCAGACGGGGCTCCCAGCCTCCCCTCCCCCAGCCCCTGGCACTCCCTATCTTACTTCCTGTGCCTGAGCGCTGCTCTGTTCCTACCTTTGCTTTTGGAAGCACACGTGGAAATGAACTCTGCTGTTTTTGGGGTTGCCAGAGTTTACCCTCAGATTCCAGAGGGAAAACAAATGACTTCTGGTCGACGACAGTTGGAAGCAGCCTAAGTAAACAGCAATAGAATTTAAGGTCAAAGTTGCTATCTTAAAAGCTTCTCAAATTGTAATTTTAAAACAAAGCTTCCTAGTTAAGATTATGTTTTATAGGAAACATTCTATCACTGATTACAATAAATTAGACCAATCTTTAGCATTTTACCACCATAAAATTGCAGTTAACAGAAGAATTTCCGAGTCTGATAATGACCATTATATCATGAATAAAAAACTTTATCCCTGGCTGAGCTTATGTGACTAACAACTGACAGAATTATTGCACTATAAAACATTTCTTGGAAAAGACAAATACATAATGCTATATTTTGTCTAATAAAACCAAATTACAGGATAGCCAATGTTAAATATATTCCAAATGATGGTCACTAAGCAATTGACACCCATACGCTTTACATTTTTGCTATTTTATATAACTGCCAAGAGTTAAAGATCAGAGACGGTTAAAGAAATTCCTAATTAAGCACTGGATTGTTCCATAGAACAATGTAAAAACAAAATGAAATTGTAAGAACGAGTATACATGTATCCTGGTGTGCTTAAATTTTAAAATGTAGGGGTCAGTGTTATGGTGCAGTGTGTTAGGCTGCCGCCTGTGACGCCGGCATCCTGTATGAGCACTGGTTCAAGTTGCAGCTGCTCCACTTCTCATCCAGCTCCCTGGTGACGTGCCTGGGAAAGCAGCAAAGGATGACCCAAGTGCTTGGGCCCCCACTCCCATAAGAGATCAGGATGGAGTTCCAGGCCCCTGCCTTCAGCCCAGCCCAGCCCTGGCCAGTGTGGCCAACTGGGAAGAGAACCAATGGATGAAAGCTCTCTCTCTCTCTCTCTGTCTCTCTGTCTCTGTCTCTGTCTCTCTGTGTGTGTGTGTGTGTGTCTCTCTCTGTAAATTACACAATTTTTTTTTAATTTAAAATCAGGCAATTCTTTTTTTATAAAGACTTATTTATTTATTTGAGAGGCAGAGTTACAGATAGAGGGAGTGCAGAGAGAGAGAAATTGAGAGAGGTCTTTCATCCACTGGTTCACTCCTCAAATGGCCGTGATGGCCAGAGCTGGGCCAATCCGAAGCCAGGAACCTGGAGTTTCTTCTAGGTCTCCCACATGGGTGGGGGGGCCCAAGCAGTTGAGCCCTCTTTCACTGCTTTCCCAGGCCATTAGCAGAAAGCTGGATCATAAGTGGTGCGGACGGGACTCAAACCATATGGGATGCCGGCATTGCAGGCAGAGGCTTAACCTACTATGCCACAGCGTCGCACCCAAAGCAGGCAATTCTTTAACATGGTCAACATAATTAAGATCAATAAAACTCAACTACCGCCGTCGCCGCAGCTCACTAGGCTAATCCTCCGCCTTGCGGCACCGGCACACCATGTTCTAGTCCCGGTCAGGGCGCCGGATTCTGTCCCGGATGCCCCTCTTCCAGGCCAGCTCTCTGCTGTGGCCAGGGAGTGCAGTGGAGGATGGCCCAAGTACTTGGGCCCTGCACCCTCATGGGAGACCAGGAGAAGCACCTGGCTCCTGGCTTCGGATCATCGCGGTGCGCCGGCCGCCGCGGCCATTGGAGAGTGAACCAACAGCAAAGGAAGACCTTTCTCTCTGTCTCTCTCTCTCACTTTCCACTCTGCCTGTCAAAAAAAAAAAACAAAAAACAAAAAACAAAAAAACAAAAAAAAAAAACCCTCAACTACCAACAGAACTTTGACTCTACTGTGATATCTATTTTTGTAACATTATTACTAAAAAGCAACTTTACAGATTTCTGATTTCACTCCAAGATGTAAAGAGATTAGAAGTTGTCACTCCCATCCTTACAAGAAAAACGCTGAACAAACAAAATAAACCACAACTCTTCTTCTATCCATCAGAGACTGGAGATCAGGGGACAAACTGGAACTGGGGGAGGGGACTCGGACTCACAGCTCAAAGGGAACGGAGTCCTTCGCTGGAGCCAGTCCTGGGAAGAACGCTTACGGCCTGCTGGACCCACGGCTGGCGGTTCATGTGGGTCAGCCGTGTGCTGGGCACTCTGAGAGGCAGGTCTTAGAGGGTTCCACACCACTGTGAGCTTTACCACGCTCTCACTGTGGAGATCACAGAAGAAAACCCTCATGTGAAATATTCCCAGAGAATTCTGTTCTTTGTTCTGTCACGAAGTCTGGCTTTCGATGAGGACAGGCATTTTACCGAAGCTTTAACTAACCTGGGAAAAGGAACTGGCCAACTCCAGCTCCCTGTAGCCCTCCTGCCTCATCTCAAGGTTGGGGGAACTTCTAGAAAAAACGTGTGAAGCTCAAAGACCCTTCAAAAGCCTGAGCCTTGATAACAGTGGTATAGAATGCTTCCCCGCCCCATGCACACCTTACCTTCGCGTCCACCCAGCCCCGTGTCATACAGGGATACAGCTGCAAGGGGTGAGAGTCTATCGAAGAAGGACTTTCCAGGAAAACTCCGAGACGACAGAGGGGAGGGAGGAAGACACTGGAAGAAACGGAAGCCTCAGATACCTGCCGTTTTGGAATCCAGTAAACACGGAAAAATCCTCACCAGACACACATAAACCTTTGCACTAAAGGCCTACCTACCCCAGTTTCCATTACACAATACATCAGGCCTAGCTTCCAGAAAAAATCTTGTAAGGTACATGAAAAGGCCAGTTATTAAAAAGCAGTCTGGGGATGAATGTCTGGCTTAGCAGTGAAGACGCTGCTTGGGACAGCATCCCTTATTGGCGTGCCTCGGTTCCTCCTGGATCTGCTCGCAACTCCAACTTCCTGCTAATGCACGCCCTGGGGAGGCTGCAGGTGGTCGCTCACGCAGTTAGGTCCCTGCCACTCACTGGGAGTCCCACGTGGACTTCCTGGCTCCTGGCTTTGGCCTGACCCAGCCCTGGGACTTGAACTAGAGGATGGGAGATCTCTGTCTGTCTGTCTATCCGCCTAGCTCTTTCTTTCACTGTCTCTCTGCATTTCATAGAAAATAATGAAACATTTTTTAAAAATAAAAAAAAATCCAAACATGCTCAAACAAACATAAACTAAGAGATCTGGTGTCAGAGACTTGTTTTGCAAGAAACATTGAAACAAGTCCCTTGGAGAGAAGAAAAGTGAAATAGATCACATAGCGGGTAGACAGAGCAAAAGGAAAACCCCGGGAAGTTCCCAGTGTGCTGTGCCCTGGCCCCAAGGCTCCTGGCTGGGCTTCCTTCTCCTCTGCATCTTCTAGGGTCTTCTCAAGCTTGTTTCATACGCAGTGCCCTGGGGTTTTAACCGTACTTGGTGAGAGGTATAGGAAAAACAATCCTCACATCGTCTTTCCAGAAGTGAGTCTCCGCGTGTATTTTTTTTGAGATTTATTTATTTACTTATTTATTTGAAAGTCAGAATTACAGAGAGAGAGGAAGAGCCACAGAGAGATCTTCCATACTCTGGTTCACTCTCCAAGTGGCTGCACCAGCCAGGGCTGAGCCTGGTGGAAGCCAGGAGTCAGGAGCTTCCTCTGGGTCTCCCTCATGGGTGGCAGGGGCCCAGACATTGGAGTCATCTTCTGCTGCTTTTCCCAGGGCATTTGCAGGGAGCTGGATTGGAAATGGAGCTGCAGGGCACGGACTGGTGCCCACATGGGATGCCAGCGTCACAGGCTATGGTTTTACCCATTACGCCACATTGGCCTCTCTCAGTGCATTTCTAAAATCCTTTGGCTTCCGTGGATTATAGGTCAAAGAGTGAATATTTATTTATTTACTTTTCTTTTCTTTTTTTTTTAATTTGAAAGGCAAACAGACAGAGAAAAACACATAAATCTCCCAGCTACTAGTTCACTGCCCCCAGATGCCTGCAATAGCCAAGGCTGGGCCAGGCTGAAGACGAGGACACAGAACTTATTCTGGGGCTCCCATATGGATGGCAAGGACCCAGGTTCTTGGGCCATGATCTTGGCCTCTCAAGGAGCACATCAGCAGGAAGCTGGGTCGGCAGTGAAGGAGTCGGGGCTCACACCTGGCACTCTGATGTGCTCTGCGGGCATCCTGAGCCTTGTTCCCACCACCACGCCAAATGCCCACCCCAAAAAGCAAATTTATTTGTAATTGTAGATCCTGATTTTTGTCTCTCAACATTTACTATGAGACATGTTCCGCATCACTGAAATTTCTTCAGCAATATCAGCTTTCATAGCTATAAATAACATTAACATGGATTTTTAAAAAGATTTATTTATTTATTTGAAAGTCGGAGTTACAGAGAGAGAGAGAGAGAGAGAGAGAGATCTCCCATCTGCTGGTTCACTCCCCAGATGTCCACACCAGCTGGAGCTGCACCGATCTGAAGCCAGGAACCAGGAGCTTCTTCCGGGTTTCCCACATGAGTGCAAGAGCCCAAAGACTCGGGCCATCTTCTATTGCTTTCCCAGGCTGCAGCAGAGAGCTGGATCGGAAGTGGAGCAGCTGGGACACAAACCTGTACCCATATGGATGTTAGCACTGCAGTCGGTGGCTTTACCCGCTACACCACAGTGCTGGCTCCCTTACCGTGGATTTAATCATTATTTCACTGCCAGGGCAATTCCTAATTCACTGCTATTAGGTTGCTAGGACGAATGCACATATACAGAGATTCATGAATATCTCTCCTTTTTCCTGTGATAATTCCTGGAGCTACAGATACCACATTAAAAGTAATAATTTAAAGAGCCATTGTTACGGAATCCTGGGTTAAGCAGTTGCCTGTGACTCCAATATCCCATGTCAGAGTGCTGGTTTGAGTCCCAGCTGCTCTGCTTCCAATACAGCTCCCTGCAAGTGCACCTGGGAAAGCAGCAGAAGATGGCCCAAGTGCTTAGGCCCCTGCTACCCACAAGGGAGACCCAGATGGAGTTCCTGGCTTTAGTTTTGCCCAGGCCCAGCTGTTGTGGCCATTTGAGGAGTGAACCAGTGGACGGCAAATCTTTCTTTCTGCCTCTCCCCCTTCTCTCTGTCACTCTGCCTTTCAAA